CGACGACTTACGGATTACATGGGGAGGTACCATCTTCCTCTATTTGCACTTACACCTATTGTATACTAGCTATTGTTCTACAGACACGTTTCCTCCAACTTTTAAATTAGACACCGAATCTAGATTTTTTAATTAGAAAAATGCGACTATAAAGTTTGCTATAGAGTTTGCGTGTATTCCTCTCATCAAGTTTTAATAAGTATTTTAATACAAGTTTTATTGGAGACGTAAATTTGATTTATTACATTAACTGATTATAATAGATGAAAAGTGCGTGCACCTACTAGGACTTACATATATACTTACATATTAAATTAATTACTTTCAAAAACAAACAGAACACAAACAGTTTAGACTAATGTACCTAACATTAGTCTAAAAAACATAAGTCAACTTCTTGGTTGGATAATTAATACTGCATCAAATACCTTGGGGTCCGTTGAACTCAGCATACAATGGATGTAATGGCACAACATGAGCCGACAGGCGTCTGCTCACAAAGGCTTGGACTGTCACAGACCGCCGCGGCTAACTAGGGATGCCATGTAGTAACTTACTGGCAATTGGAAATTATTATTGTAATTTTTATGGATTTTATAGATTACGGCTATATTTTAATTTTGTTACAGATTAAGTAATTAGTGCTAGACGTTAATTAATAGCTTTAACATGAGCAAATATCGTTTTGAACTTAAAAAGTTTATGACTGAAGTATATGTGACCTTTTACTATCGTTTAATCAAATTAACACAACAAAATTGTCCCAAGAATCCAAACAGTCCAAGAATGTATTGACTCTACAAATTACAAATACATCAATCACCGTCGAAAAGGTTGTATGAAAAAATTCGGGGCATACACAGTACACACATGTAGTCAAGCCATTTACTTACATCATCGCGTCCGGGACCAGTTTTATGACAGAGCCTTAATGGTGACTCCTAGCTTGTCCGCATCTGTTCCTTGATGAGCATAAATTACCGATTAAACCAGTATTTTACTGACTATTATACATTTTGTATTTTTATCATGTGGGAGTGCATGGCTTATAGATTTTTTATACTCTCATTATGCGCTAAAATTGGACTCATGCGATCTTGAGTTATTACTGCGGTCTATATTTAAGTTAAGGACTAGTATTATAGTGGATATAATATGTATTTATAATTTCGAAGTAGGTATCTTATGTTTCTTAATGAATTTACTGTATGAATAGTCATGGGTTCCACATATTTAAGTACACGTTTTGTGAATTCGTTTTTACTTAAACAGAAAATACAAAGTCTACGTTAGACTAAAACTTTTTGAATATTTAATTTACATTCTGGAACAACGTTCCCCGTGCGGCGAGCGGACATGTGTAAACTGTCGTACGAACAAGAATGTCCGCGCGCAGCACACCTATGCAACACAAGTTGCTAAAAGGCTACAACCGCGTTCAACCACAAACGCTCCAACCTACACCTATTTTATTAACGAGCCGACAATTTAAAGCGAACTAGAAACTCATTTAGTGGCCATTACCTCCAACTAACTACCGGTAAGCAGATTAAAATGCATGCCAAAAGTTTAAATTTATGTACCGGACGCTCTCTTCAATTAAACTTGTTATAATGAAACTCTGGAAAAACTGAGTAAATTTCTACGAAGAGACGACGCAAATAATTCCCAAGTTTTGCAATTTATACTCATTTTAAAGTTGAGTTCGATGGCGCAGACGTTCCACCAGTAACCCACGACCTGAATTGATTATTTTAACGCTTTCGGATCTTTTCAACTTGATAATTTTGTCTTCCTAGTTACTTGTTTTGTTCGACTTTAATTTAAGTCAAGGAGTTGGTAATATTAAATTATATTGTGTAAATTATATGAGGACGACTTTTCAATATTTCATTGAGTAGAAGTTGAATGCAAGTATGATTAGTATATTTTGAGCAATATCGCAATTTATAATATGTACTTACTACAACATCTTTCCGTCGGTACTTTGAAAAGTAAACAAAATTCATGCAACCGATTCCGTAAACACACAGCAACCATTTATTATTCTGTATTCATTATGTAAACAATAAAAGCATGAGCCGTTGATATTATAAAAACACGACAAAGAACCACTGACAAAATAAATTTGAAAATTAACACAATGCAATTAACATTTACATAGAGCACATTAATTTATTTAGTTAAAACCGCTGCAGATACTTGTGGTGGTATAGACAACTGACGCTATTCCACGAATAATCTCAAACAAAACGATAAAAGAATTCCCTGAATGCCATGTTCTGTTTCTATTACCTAACTTTTCGTTTGGTTGTTTTTCGTAAACATTCCAGCTGCCGTTGGCAAACCATTCAATGAACCCGTTTCTATGCTCTAAACGACTGGTCGTGGTCTAAATATACCATTTAAATTCAAGAGCAGTTACTATGCCTTCTACTGAAGCATCATGAGCTATTTATTATTGTCATTTATGGCCATTCTTTGACTTACTTCGCCTACTCTGCTATATTTTTAAGAGTTCAGTCAGCAAAAGCTTTGGTATTGACTATTCCATTTCGTCGGAAGCAGAGAAGGCGTGCAAAGCATCGATAATCAACAGCACTCCATTCGGATAGTGCTAATGAATTTCTTTAGTTGAGTATTCACAAAGCAGTCGACGTCCGCAAAGAGTTCATTTCAAGAGCTTCCAGGCTTCGAGGGGAAAATAAATAAAAATAGGTGGCATCAAATTGTGCGGAGTGACTACGAGGCAAGGTCCCGCGAGCACTTTCTCATGCAAAAGTCGAACGGTTACTTTAATTCTTAGCTGGAGCACTTGTCGGTTTTACGAGCGTGGAGCGATTTAATCCACTTAAAACGCAGAGCACAAACTCCAAGCCGACAAAGCTCTCAGCCGCTCTCATTTAAAAATGGAAATAAACCTTCGGCCATCTTTGACTCAATGCGACCGCTAGTGGAATTCTAAGTGCGGTCTTCAATGATATAGAAACAATTTTTTATCCATTTGATGGATTGCTCCTGATTTATTGCGAGGTTTCAATGGATCATAAAAGAAATGATGAAGATATATAATTGTGGACACAGGAAGTTATACATTCAGTCTGACCACATGCAAGACATTGAAACTTTCAACACGTTGACGTTATGAAAGTTGGACCACCGCAGTAGGCGAGTATGGGAAGTGTTAACACATTTGATGTTTGTCTTGGCAAATTCTTATGAATTGCAAAGATAAAACACAATCTGATATGTTACTGTTTATTTATGCCAACGGTAGGTAAAAATTATTTCCTTATAATGTAGAGGTGTATTATAATATTATGTTGAGAGCTTTCGATACTATTACATAACCGAAAAAGTAAATAAAAACATTTTTGTTCTATTTCGAAAGATAAAATCTTTTTCTTTCCGTTGTTATACTTAACCTTCGATTTGACCTTCATTGAACCTTGTACCTTTTTATCATCCATCATTTACAAATCCCCAGATTCAACATTAGAATAATAGGACTTTATAATATCAAAACTTATTTAAACCATGTTTTCTCATCTTCAAAAAATAGATTACCGGATAATTTATTTCCTATCTTCGAAGGAATTTCAGAAATTATCCGCCCTTAGTCCTCGTCTTTGGCTTCCCCATCTTAATGAAAGAGTTTTGCGGCGAGATTATTTTGACTTGTTTATTTTATTTCCGCACCACTCACCGTCTGTAGTTGTTAATTTTATATTTGTACATACCTACAAATGTATATAGTAACCACTGAGCTTTATTTTATATTCACGTTAACTACAGAATCCTCGTAAAATATTCTCGCTAACTACTTCACAATAATTGCAATGGTTTGCACCTTGCAAATTGAAGTAATTAAGGCTTTCTTCTTCAAAGGGGAAAAATAATTACACCATGTGTAAAAATCAATTTTGTAAACTCATTCTATCTTAAATAATTTAGGGTATGAATTTCAGAGACTCCGCATTTATGTCAAAGAAAATTAATTACTATTTAGTATTTCCGTTTTAATACGAATTTTTCATAAGTATGCCAATAAGATCATAAACAACAGACACATTACAGTTCATTTATTTGACACATTTAAAGGTCTTCACCAAACCAATTACGCATCAAACAACACTTTAAATTTTAAGAACCGGCCTTTAATTCTCTCTACTTCTTAATTACCTTACTTTACGTCGAATCTCCCCTTTTTTGTGACTCAACGGAAATTACTCGGAAAAGTCACTTAAAGCAAATAGGTCTAGGTAGGATAATTACGACTTTTTTTCTCTCGATTTCGTTAATTTTGCCGTGTCAGTTGTAATTACTGTGTAATTGAACGCCGTGTTTATCTTGACTTGACATCAGTATTGGTTCATCGATATTTAACCTAACCTAATAAATCGTATTCCTGTTATCGAGTCGGGAAAGTTGTTACGAGAAAGTGTGAGAATAATTTCGTGCTTCAGATCCTACGATCGATAGACAAATCATATTATTGAGTGGTTTAAACCGTTAGCACGTAATTTATTCAATTAATGTTTCGATCTTTATTGTCTTAGCTGTTTTACAACCATATATAAAATGTAAGTGTCAGGAATGTACAAAATGTGTTGTTTTTATTCCATCAGATAGAGTTATCAAGTTACAATCTTGAATGCCAAGTGTTTCGCAGCTTTTGTACGTTTGTTTAAAATGCAGTAGTAGAATTTATTATTTTAGCAGTAAAGTTTACTTTAGCAATAAGACCTCTAATCATGATACGTATGTTAGCAGAATAATAAAAGGAATTAACTGTCATCTCTTCGAATGGGAAATAGATCATTGACTTGTTGCTACTGACTGAGTTGGCCATCTTTTCTGAATTAAAAAAGGTACAATTGGTGTTGTCAACCTATGGCTGGGAATTAACTTTATTTTCTCTATCCTAACGACCAAAAATAGACTGGAGAGTAAGTTGATTTATTTTAAAATTTTCCTAACCTATTTTTCTTTTTTTGCAGGATGGCGACCGAGGTTACCTGGAAGGTTTGGCTTCGCGATACGCGGACCTTTTCTCAACACACTATGGGGACGTTCTAGACCACCTTGAAGAATTGAGGAGACACGAATGGGACGAGATGTCACCCAGAATGAGGGTGCTCGGAGGCCCTGGAACACCTCAAACCCCACCTTCGGCAAGTCCTGGTTCCCTAGCTTTGAATAACTTGACCACGTCGCATTCGCAGCCCATTTATGTGCCTGGAAAATATTCGGTGAGTTGAATGGGATTCTCATTCGTATTTGGGAATGGTCATCAATTTCACGAAGTAGTTATTTTCGACTAAATTGCTAGCTTACGTAGTTTGTTGTTGCATGAATGAGTGTGAGTTTGAACTACTTATATAGTAATAAATAATAAAAGTTTTTACGTAAAAACAATTTGCAGTGTAGCATGCATTTGGCACTATGTCAGCATAGTTTTTTGGCTCGACGCAAGATTTGCTATCTGTGCAAATTTCTCGTGACGTGTTTTCAATCTTTCTCATTTCTTATGGTATTTCAGTGTATTTTTTCTTGTTACATAATATAATAGTAAGGCTTCTAAAGAATATGTTCTTTAAATTATGTCAAATTGGGATTTTAAGAGTATTGATTATAAGAGTACACATTCAACATTTTGGCTAGTAACTTTTCCTGACACAAAAGATCATAGTAGAAATAAACAATGCTATTCTCTGTAGGTATAGAATTTTATGATAATGTTAGTAACTTTACCTAAAGTTGAATCACTTGAAAAAGGACCTCACTAAACAGCGAGGAAAGCACGTGATGAACTTGAATCTAAATCCTCCGTCGACCATCAGACAAAAGTCCAAGGTCATAATAATGAGGCCGCGGAGGCCTACAGATAAAACGGTCTGAATAAATAATAGGATCATGTCATGTAATCAGACTAAGCGGGACCAAATCGTCGCTTTGTGTAAAATTAGCTGGGAATATTAGGTTTTCAACATTGCTAGTGATATTTGAACCGTTTTTGTGAATATGATTTCATTTTTGTGAATACACCTCTAAGTACGTAAAGCGGATTACCTACCTTCAGAAAGCTTTTCGCATTTATACCAAGTCTGATATTAATACAGATTTTTTTGTTAAGAAACCTATTATAGCTTTTGTTGAAAGGTATTTTCTCTTTCTGTGTCATAGAAATCTAATTTTCTTTGTCATTGAATATGAATATACATTTTAATATTTCAACTCAATATGATTTGCTTTTGATGAAATGTAAGGTTAGAAAAGTCACCTATAAGTGAGCTTTAGACATAGGTTTACATGATAATTATTAGTTACTAATAAATTAATGTTCTAAGTAGGTGTATACCAGGGAATTGAAAAGAACTACCTTTTTTGTAACAAATATACTTAGGTACGATTATACAATACTATTTGAACAATAAAATTAGTCTGTTAGTAAACATAGCTCTTTTTTGTACACGAATATATTATCGCGTTAGTAACAGAGAAACAGCAGAGATTTCGTATAATGTTTATATGAATAAAATATTTAAACCTTCAAATTGAACGTTATTAATAGTTTTTAACAACAAATTTCTTTGTTAACAGCCCTCAAGCTGCCTCACAGAGAAAGAAGAGGACGAAATATACGGGTTCGGATACGGCGTGTTTGGCAAACAGATGCTGCAACGGCAACAGCAACAAAAACAACTGTTGTTAGCGCAACCGACACAACCGCTCATGCACAATACGCAACACAACTATCAAAGGTGAGTGTTTATTTTTAAGTTACATATATTATATATAAAAAAAAACTTTTTTTGAAGATTTGTGAGTTAAAAAAAACTGAAATCAACTATTACTAGGCTATTTTTGTCATTCTATAGAAAATATTGCCCTTGTCATGATATTACATGAAACTAGTCATTGCACTAATCTAAATCCCAATAAATATGTAATTTCAGTCTCATAAGGGTCAAAATCAAAAATATAATACTGAAATTATGTTAAAATGAATGCAGAAATTAAAGTACTACACAAAATAAACATATACATAAATAAAAATATTTTTTCTTGTTGGTGTAATTAATTCAAGACTGAATCTCCAATGGCCACATTTTTATGCAAACATTAAAAGTCGATACAAGTTAATCATTTGAGATTGACAAGTGCATTAAGCTGCCAATACATGTCAGCATTATCAGGCTTAACGCAATGCAGGTCAGTGCTTTGGATGCAGTATTTAAGTACTTTGTGAACAAGTCGTGACAAGGAGTTATATTGATGAAGCACTCAGTGTATCATTAAAACATAACAACTATTATCAAGGCCTAAGACAATATTATACTTCCTCTTGGCTAAAGAAGAATTTATAACAACTTTTGTACATAAAAACATATCAGTCTGTTATGTTCTTCTAACAATCTCAACTCAGAATCCAATTAAATATTTACTACAGATAATAAAATATAATAGGAGAATTGCGAAGAATCGATCTGTGATCATTATAACAATAACTCGCAATCATATTCCGCGAATACCGACGTAAGCTAACATGCCATTATCCTTATTGGTCTAAAGAAATTCGTGGTCGGCTTACACGAAATGTTAACGATAAACGAGAATAGCGCGGGACGTAGTCATAAATTATTTGGACTTTAACAGGTGTACTCGTTAGATAAGCTTTTGCGCTGCATGTATAAATGCTAATCTAAATTGAAATCAGACATTCGATTGGCGACAGAAGCGGCCCCCGAGTTGAGAATAGTCGAGCTGATGCACGGTTAGGAGAAGCAACTGCATTCTTCTTGAGGAACATAAAATGGAATGGAGTTGAGAAGGAAACGTTGCCTTTTCTCCTTAAACCTAATTGAGGACTTTATACTAATTCAAATCCCTTTGTTACTTTTACGCTAATGTTTGTTACAAGAGAAGAAATATTCTACTGAATTCTAATACTATAAAACAAAGCAAAACCTACTGTGAACATAAATATTCGTCAATAGTCCCAACACTGAGTCCCTGCGAATGCGAAGTAAGTTCTCATTACATCGGAGCGTGCTGTAAAATAAATTCAAATTAACTACTGATGGATATGTCCGGGCCGGGTGCCCGTTCGAAGTTTGCGTTAAGACTGTATTTAAATAAGGTACTATCTTTATTGGATACTAAACTACAACTAATAAGGTAACTGTTGTAAACGATTTATGAATGAATGATGGTATGGGTTTCTATTGAGATAGATGTTCAACTTCAATATTGAGTTAAGCGGAAATTATTTTCATGACGTTAAACGTGCATATTTTAGCTACATTATTGAAAGGTTTTGACCGTCGAAAATCAGATCATTCTTTCCGAAGTTTGCCGTCAGTTTTTAAATACTGATCGTTATAGAAAAGGAACTATTACTGTTTGTTCTTTCTTTGTTATTCAAATATGTTGTTAACATTTCACATACATCTGCTCCTATCACAAACCCTATCTTATTCAAGAGGGGTTAAAAAGAAAAATGAATAATGTGCAGCACACATTGCTTGAAATAGTTTTGAGTGAAATAAAACTCCGATGACGGATTAAAAATGGTTGGAGTATGACGCGAAGAATACTAATGTTACTTATAATAGTTCTGATGTAAGCTTGTGATGAATACATTTTATTTCAACATATTTTTATGCTTGGATATAGTTCAAGTAATTGTTATTTGCATTTACTGTTAACCACAGTTATATGAAAGCTGTTTAAAATGATTTTAATTACAAAAGTATAGTTTATTTGTATGTAATTTCGAGCTAACATACTGAAGTATATTTAAATTTTAGGCATCTTTTTAAAGTATATTTTCCGTTGCTCTCACATTTTAGCACAAAACAAACGGAAAATCCTTCACCTTTTATCACAAAGGAATTTGATATCATACCTGTGTTGATACCCAGTAATAGAAACACGATTCTGGAAATAGCAACCACTGGCCTATTTTTGGCTTTCAAATTGGTTCTCAAAATGCGAAGAGTAGCCCTCAGCGAAAAATAGGCCACCCACACCGTGCGTGGGTGTTACTATAAAGGGATTATAACAGGTGAATGATATAATTTGCATGTTAGTGACGGCTTTTATTAAAGTTCATTTCCATTAAAAATTAGTCCTTGTGACAAAAATACCGATTTCACGAGCTAAAGAAGTACTTACATAAAAGATTTTTGTACTCTTCTGCTGGAATTCCACAGTTTATCGAGCAATATAATATGGAATCTATAGTTTTCTAGCTTTATATAAATGTTAAAATATTTTCTACCAGTACTCGTATATACTTTAAACAATTATCTCTTAAACAAAACCTACACAAGAACCACTTATCCACTACTCCAATCGCGTCTACAACTTTACGATTATCGAATGTCTATAAACTTTCCTATATCCTTAATTAGATCTCAATAACATAAAACTAAACACCTTTCTAGCCACGGCAAGGAATATTAAAATCTGTGGCTACCGAGCGGGGGTGTTCTCATAAATTGGTACCATGGAAACCGCGTCACGGCGCCCACTCGGCCAATCTAACATGTCTTACAATGCTAATTAGATCTCTGCTCCACTAGTTTTGCTTAATGAATTACTCGTAAAAGTGTTATTCGATTGCAAATAGAGATTATTTATGTTAATATTGTGTTAGTGGGCGTACGTTTATCGTTCGTGAATTGTAGATTTGTTTTAACTTTGTTGAGTTAGATTTACATAGGACTTAATATAAAACAAGACTGTAAAGAATTTTGTATCGTTCGCTTCAAGAAGACAGGAAACCCGATTGTGTGATATTGGTTCTATGTGAATGCCAATCAAATGGTTAGCTAACGTTCCTTCAGATAAATTTCAATTCGACAAAATTTTACTTCATTATACATGAAAATAAAGTTTCAGAAAACAAAATGAACTTTTAAATTATTAAATCCCTTCAGTCAATAGAAGGCGAGATTAAAATTTAATGTTATGTTATGTTACATGTTATGACTATCCCGCATAAAATGGATACCACAAGTCGCATTAACACCAATTTGTAGCTGTAATGAAAGCTACTAGTTTATAAACTTGGCGTTTACGAGCACCGCGGCTTACTAACTGATTTCTAGGGAAATTGATTCCGACTACCAATTTAACTCTGGGGCCAATGAAGTTTGTTTAGAGGATATTTAGGACGAGAGAACACGAAAATTGTAGGCTTATTTACATAACTTTAGGAAATCTCGATTTTTATAACTGAGATATAGTTTTTGTGTTCTGAAACAATTAAAATAGTCACCTGCCTAAATTTAACTCGTCGAGTACCGGTTTTATAGACACAATTAAAGAACAATAGGTCGCGGTCACCGGTGACCGCTTGGTGTTTGACAGATTAAACACCAAAAAGAATAAAGTGCAAATAAACATACTAAATAAATCAAACGAAATCTGTTTTCTCCGTAAAAAAAATCCTGCTACCAGCTGATTAATGTTCAAAAAGTTTTAGGGGTAACTGCAAATTTTCTCCCATTTCCTGAAATATAAATGAAGGAATTCCTAAATAACGACATCCCTTTAAAGAACCTTGAACTCGTATCCGACCAGGCATCAAAGCTTGCGACTTCTTAAAGTATTAAAATAAAGATACCCTCTGCGCTTGTGTGAACAAAGTTTGCTTGAGAATTCCCAACTCGATATAAAATTATTATGTTGAATTACGTTGCTGTTTGTTTAAAGTGAATTAATAACGTTTTATACGTACAGAATTGTTTTAGGAGTTGAAATATATGATTGTAGGACAGTTTAATTGAACTGTATTTACCATGCCTCTTATACTAAAAGAATGATACAATATCTTACTTGCGCCTATTAGACGAAGTATTGAAATGTTTTACATAATAATTTATTTTAATTAAAATTGCAGCATGCAGCGTATTCGACAAAGAGAAAATAATTAACTTTGAAGTTGGACAAGGAAATAATAAATATTATGGCATACACAGGCGCTAGAATGTAGATACATAAAATTAATAATTCCATACCCACAAGATTTGAAATATATCTTCGCTGAATATAAATCCAATGTTCACCTTTTGTACCTTTCAATAAAATACAGCACTTAATCAGTCCAATGCGATGACTCCTCATAATTTTAATGCTCAAATAAAATAAACACACGCCTACATGGGTCACGTAGAACAGACAAACTAACGAACCTCTAAAATATATTATGTAAATTCAATACATATCATTCATAATAAATTTGTGTCAATTGATGGGAATAAACGCTCAGACTAACAATCTTGATACTATAGCATTAGCATATGTAAAGGGATAAAGTGATGTAAAATTTGAATATTACAATATTATCTTTGTGTGTAATTCAGAACACCTTAATTGTAGGTAATGCTAAAGTAAAAACACGGGTACAGAAGTCATCAATTGGATAAAAGAGATGACTTTATTATTATTATTTTCGTTTTATTAAAGTTTAGATCATAGATATAGATACATGTATGAATCATTTTGATAACATCTCAATTATTATGCAAATATACTTTGACAGACACGACAGGTTGTCATCAAAGCAATTCCCAGGAACTGCAATTATGAATGTAGGTGCAGGTACTCATACAACCTGTTATGTGCGCATATGCAAAGGTACTTATAATATTTACCCGACTGTACAAACATTACGTACGTAATCAAAAGCTGTGTTTAACAACTTAAATCAATAAAATACCAAGATACAAGCTCTGTATAGTGTGTACTGGCATTTAGGGCGATATATGTACTCGTTACTCAATTAACGCTACGCACAGACGAGAATCCTACTAACAAGGTACGCGATTACGGACAGAGAGATACGGGAAACGCGAGAAACACCGTGATACGCGGCTTAACTAGACAAAATTTATCTAAGTGCTATAGAATGCGGTGCGTCGTTATTTCTGATTCGCTATCTGCTTTGTTGCCTGGATTCGATTACGTTTCGACATAGGTCCGGTTTCGTATAGCTTTTATGAGTCGCCTGACAATTATTGGCTTTGTCATGACACAGTAAGAGTTATACCGTGCGTCTTTAAATTGAACTTTATGGGTTCCAAATGAAAAACGCTTTAGAAATCTTAGTGTTGAACAACAATTAAATAGTAATAGCTCTTCGAATGAAATATTTATTTGTCGCTTTAGAAAGTTGTTGTTTATGCTTATAGATATAATAGTTTTATTGTGTGATTGCTATTGTTAGGACTTTAACATTATGTTCGTACAATTGTCATAACGTGTTAATTTGTGATTAATTTCAAGCAATTAGGATCTAGTCAACAAGTATCAATATTGTCAATAATTAATATTATCTATTAAAAAGAGGTAATCAAATATTTATTTCTAACAGCGAATATTTGATAAATTATTACGTAAACATAACAACAGAGCCGAAATTAATATAAATTTATTACCATCGTAGGACTAAATTGTTGAGAATCAATATTCATTGCATCCGCGGCGTTGCATGGTGCCGATATGATACTCATTCTGATTTATTGCTCGATCCCAACTTTATATTGGGTTTGCGAACTGAAACATGTGCGATATTGAACTATTGTTTGTGAAACGCGTCTTGAAATTCGATGAATTATCGTTTAGTCTGGTTTTAAATAATGTGGACACAATTTGTAGTTGGTTTTCGATGTTCAGAATGTATGTAGTAGGTCTCGATCTCAATTTCTCGAGCGAAAATACAATTAGTTAAAGGTGTGTGTATAAGTATTAAGTAGGTATCTACGTATCTTTTACCATCACAAAACGTAGACCAAATTACCTATAAACAGTCTACAAAGTAACTTTTATCTTTAGACCACAATCTACACAATTCAAACAAATAAAAACGTACATTACAGTCAAAACCAATCAATTTTCAATTATCTGATGACAACAATATTTTCAGTTCCAATAAAACGAAATTGAAATAACATTTAAAATACCAGACGTATTAATTTTATACTCTCAAAATTAACTTCGGTTTAAATGCTCAATTATCGGAGCTGATTAAGGGCTGCGGACACATCAAAACGAACTCTTTACAAAATTTACGATTTCATTAACCGCCACTCATTTTACGGACAATCATCATTAACGGAGTATTGTTAATGCTGAAGTCGATTAATTTCCCATTTCCCGGATTCCCAATGCTTAGTCCGTTATTTTTCCGTTTTCCGCAATATCCGACTGGTGCATTTTTTGTTTACGGTTTGTGCTTTTATTTTTTGTTCGTGATAATAGATAGGTGTCTGGAGATTATAGATTAAGAATCAGTGATGATTAATATAATAAAAATTGAAATTTGCGTAATCGTAATTTTTTATCATAGAAATTGTGATGATCAATGGAATAAAGTTACAAAGAGCACTTAACCATAATATGATCTGATTTTTACTTCATTCCGCTAACGTTGTGAATTTTTGTTTCAGCTGCCTAAGTCCACGGTCTGCGTATTTCTACGAATTCCCGCCAAGCGGTAAGTACCACTACATTATCTAAAAGAAAATGTTAATCCTATTACAATTCCGTACCTATAAAGGTCTACTATTATTAGCGTTTGTATGGAAATGTATTATATACAAGACATTTTGTTGGCAAAATTGCAATGCAACGATGCATTCCTAGGTCACCTTTACGTATATCTTACTGTTACCTCTTGGCCTATTTCCAGGTAGGTTGGATTTTCTGCTAAGTTTGTTAGGTAGAAGCCTAAACTTAGGCAAAATATTGTTACTTGCGTAACCAAGACTGTAGTGTTAACATTGTGTTGTTGTTGGTTGAATACAGTTACACCATTTAGGCTTGGTATACGAATACTCAATAGTCTCAAAATAATTCTGTAACTAACTCTAATTCACTTACTTTATCGTATTTTGCATATCCTTGTTTTCTACAGTATTAACTCACTAATACACCTTAAAAACTAATATATTATCATTATCAAGAAGTAGAAATTACTAAAAAATAAAAAAAATATATATGCATTACATTTGTTAATTTTTATGTTTTTCCACTAAATCACGTAATTACTGGACTAGTTTCAAGCCGTCTTGGGTCGCGGAAAGCTGTTCATGAATATGAGCCTCTAGCATGAATTGAAACTAGTCGAGTTTCTCGATAATTACGTGAGTAAGCCATAAAAGCATAATAATTAATTTAGTATGTCTCACGAAAGTTATAATATATACGTTTTATTTGAATTTAAAATGTATAAATCCACTTAATCGTTGTTGATATATGTCTACATAACTTTCAACGTCAATTTTAATGTTAATAAGCCATTGTAGCAGGTTTGTACGAACAAACACACAATTTACAAAGACACGTAGTTTATTTAAAGGCTACAGTAAACGAGATATAGTTTAGTACAGGGAGCGGGACCCCGTACGTGTGCTATGAGTAGCGTAACACTGGTTCTCAGAGCTGTCCTACCAGGGAGGTTGAAGCAGACTGAGAGCGCAGTGAACTCTGGCTGCGCACACGCCGAGCGTCGTGTTTTATAGGCGCCGCGCCGGCCGGCGCGCGGTGGGGCCGGTGGAGTAGCTGCTTGCGGGGAGGCCACGCCCCGCATGACGTGTAGACGTTGCCATGATTCGAGCGCTCGGGAATTGTTGTGATTTCTTGTTACAGTCTCCCCCTCTGGATCTGAAGTCGTCCCGACGATGATCCAGCAAGTGGACGCGTGGTCTTGGGTTTTCCACGTTTCACCGGTTGTCCTGTGTCACTGCCGTGCTCCAGGGTTTGCTTTCGGGGTCGTCCTCTCTTGCGCAGGGGCTGTACAGGAGCTGGTAACTTGGATGACTCTCCGGCATAAGGCATCAGAGCTGAAGAATGATATACCCCAATCACAACGTCTGGCCTTTGTGGATCAGCAATTTCATAAGAGGATGGACCGTGTCGTTTCTTGATGATGTAGGGCCCATCACGTCGGGGTGCGAATTTGTTACTTACACCACGTGAGGCATTACTCAGTGTATGGGCTGTAGCAAGTACCAGTTCACCAGGACTGTACCCTGGGTCTTCTCGTCGTTGCTTATCGACGTACTTCTTACGTCGTTCTTCGCTTTGCTCCTGTATTTCACGAGCCTGTTGCAGGGTATTAGCTAATTGCATCAGCTTTGGAGTGATCTCTGGGACGAAGTTCTCGGATTGCAAAATCTTTCTAAAATCATGGGATGTGTCATCTGGTGTTCTCAGTTCTCTGCCAAAGGTTAAGAATGCCGGTGTGAATCCAGTTGATAAGCTGCTTGCGGTATTCATCGCAAACCTAATACTTGCTAGGTGCTCCGGCCATTCTCTGTGCTTATCCTTGACCAGGACAGCTAACTGAGGTTTTAAATCTCTGTTCTTCCTCTCCACTGGGTTCGTCTCTGGGTGATACACAGGAGTGAAAGCATGCTTGATGTTCATTGTAAAAGCAACTTGTTGCATGACGGCACTGACGAATTGGGGTCCATTATCACTGATCATACGACGAGGAAATCCGAAGCGTAGGAATATTTCATTGATCAGAGTCATGGCGCAATTTTCTGCAGTCGCCTGGTGTAATGCGAAGAGTTCCACCCACCGCGTTGCTACATCTTCAACGATGAAAATCCAGGTCTTGCCGTCTATAGAGGTTGGTAGAGGACCAAACAAGTCAAAAGAAATGACTTCGAATCTTTGATTCGTTACAGTAGTTTGGAGCAATCCCGCAGGTTTCTGATTCGATGATTTGTACCGCTGACACTCCAGGCAATTCTTTGTATAACTTTCAATGTATTTTCTCATACCAGTCCAGTAGTACCTTGTTGCGATTCGACGGTAGGTTTTATCGGAACCGTAATGACCGGCCAAAGGATTGTCGTGGTATGTTGACAATATATTGGCCCACTCGTGTTCAGGTACTGCCAACTGTGCATCTTCGGAATCTGAATGAGGACTGTGTCGGTAAAGTAGTCCATTATTCATTAGGTAGCCCTTGCTGCTCCAGTATACCGCTTTTTCGTCATTGTTCACACTTTCTAGGTCCTTTACTATCTGTTGTAATCTTTCATCTTTTAGCTGTTCATCTCTAATATCAGCGGGGCTCCGCACGGGCATATCAATGGTTACTGTACAGATACCACAAGCTCCTACTGTCTCCTTATTACACGGCGGTCTGGAGAGGAAATCAGCGACGACGTTCGTTTTCCCAGGAGCATATTTGATGGTAATGTCGAACGCTTGCAGCTGTAGGGCCCATCTCGCCAGCCTACCAGTAGGCGTCTTTAGTGACATAAGCCATTTCAGGGCTTGATGGTCCGTGATGACGGTGACAGGCAGCCCTTCGATATATCCGCGAAATTTTGTTACTGCCCACACCACAGCAAGCGCCTCTCTTTCGGTAGTTGTATAATTCCGTTCGGCGGATGTCAGAAGACGACTAGCAAACTCCACAGGATGTTCGTCTTCAGCCTCCCCCTGGACCAAAACTGCTCCTATAGCGTAAGAGCTGGCGTCGCTTTTGATGACGTATGGTTCGGTTTCATTGGCTTGCCTCAAAATTGGAGCTGAAGATAGACGATATTTCAACTCATTGTAGGCGTTTTGCTGTTCCTCTGTCCACTCCCAATTGACATTCTTCTTCGTAAAGCGAGTCAGGGGTTCGGCAATCTTCGCAAAGTTCTCTATGAATCTCCTATACCACGAACAAGTCTGCAAAAATGTGACTAAGTGTTTCAGGTTGGAGGGTGCGGGTAGCTCTGCGATGGCTGCAGTTTTCTTGGGGTCTACCTGCAAACCGTCTGGCGTGATATAGTGTCCCAAGTATTTGATGGTGGAACAGCAGAAATTGCATTTTCCTCGATTTGCAGTAAGGCCAAATTCTTTTAGCTTGTCGAATACCGTTTGCAAGTCTTTTAAATGTTGCTCAAACGTTTGCGAGAATACGGCCAAGTCATCCAGATATGCCAACAGCTTCACGTCCGGCATACCTACTCGCATGCGGAAGTCGACGTAAATTGTCAATCTTGATGCCTGGGTTTGGCCTCGCGTTGTGCGCCAGATTGTAGCAGGTTTGTACGAACAAACACACAATTTACAAAGACACGTAGTTTATTTAAAGGCTACAGTAAACGAGATATAGTTTAGTACAGGGAGCGGGACCCCGTACGTGTGCTATGAGTAGCGTAACACTGGTTCTCAGAGCTGTCCTACCAGGGAGGTTGAAGCAGACTGAGAGCGCAGTGAACTCTGGCTGCGCACACGCCGAGCGTCGTGTTTTATAGGCGCCGCGCCGGCCGGCGCGCGGTGGGGCCGGTGGAGTAGCTGCTTGCGGGGAGGCCACGCCCCGCATGACGTGTAGACGTTGCCATGATTCGAGCGCTCGGGAATTGTTGTGATTTCTTGTTACACCATTAAATAAATTCACAGAAATGTTGCAAATGTAAAGAAAAATACTGAAATATGTGCGCGCCACTTGAGTACTTGATTTATGAACATTAAACCTTGGCTAGACGTGTTGACTTGTGACTAGACTTTTTATAACTAATCCACTAAAAGCAATTTTGTCAGGAAAACATAATTCCATTTTTACATTGAAAAGTAAATTGACGTAGTTTTATTTATAAGTGTCCTAATTATGAGGTTGACAATTTTTTTTCAAGTTTTCTGCTTTAAATCTGGATTAAACGTTCGATAGTTTTATCGATAGGTGTTGTTTAATAAAATGTCTCGTCAATTTGAGAAAATCTCCTTTATAAATTGCTATACTATTCAGAATTGTATAAGAATCATAAAGAGTTAAGTCTTAACTGTGCATATAAATTAGCAGACATAGGATTATATTTCCAGCAAATGTCAAAGTAAATGACAAATTAATTTTAAGCAGGCATTGTTGTTGTAGATAACTGCCTGGGCACAGCCAAGAAGAAGGTGACCACATTCTCAAGGTTACTGCGAGGTCTGAAGTCCCATAGGAAAGAGAAGCATGGTTCATGTTCGCCGAAACATGCCCATAGTCCCCGACAAGTACTGCCTCCACAGCGGGTGAGTATTAGTATTAGTGCTGTTTTGACCTTGATTTTTATCAAATTACAGTTTTTGACTAATCAAGATGAAGATATACGTAAGGATTGCTTGTTACATGACAATAATGAATAGGAGGTTGCAATGCGACGCTCTGTAGTTAAAAAACAATTATTTTAGTGGAAATATTTTCAAATTGTAAACATAATTGGTTTAATTGGTTAGTTACCATAATTTGAAAAACATCAGGTCATCAAAACCTGGTTTGATTGTAGAAAAGTTTTTTCTAAATCGTTTGTTGTGTTACATTAACAGGAATGCTGTGTGGAGAATTTTTGTACTAAATTCCTTATACTAGTGTTATTTTCTATCTATATACTAACTGCAAAATAAATCTGAAGTACGACAAAATATTGAGAGTACACTTCAATATAAATAATGTAGTAACTTTCATATACTTTCTTGCGAATTCTATTTCGAAACCTTAGTATTAATTCATGAACAAAAGCTTACTGAGGAATAAATGGTGGTATAAAGTCTTACCTGAGACACATACTAGGTAAACATACCGAACCCTTAATGGATTACTCCCACATTTTAGCAAAAAGTTTTCATATTATTTCGAAAATTTCCTAAAAAAATATGGTCCCTTGATGTTGTAAAGTTAGATTGAATTCTTCATTCATATGTTCTCTATTCTTTACATTCTTGTCGTTTTTCTAAATATAATGTATGCCCGTGAGGTCAGAATAAGTCAGTTGAGCCTTTGTGAATATATTAAAAAAACCATAAAGCAATATGTTAATAATTCTAGCGACCAATAATAGGATTATAATTGCAATGTTTACAGCTTTCGCGTGGGCGGTCAATTATGCTGTGAAACGTAGAGCCTATAACTTAACACTTCATACTAAATAACTAGACGTGGCACACAGTTTAATTAAGAGAACTGCTGCATTAATAGATATACGATTTAAATTGGACACGCGATACTATATTTAATTATTTGTAAAATATCAGTTTACTTCGGTTCCATTTATCTGCGAGTGGAATTGTGTTTTGTTTATTATTGTATTTGTTTAACGAATTTTGTTTATTTTAACCAAATATTAGTATTTAATAGTTAACTAATATGTATTAAATTATTGTTTATTATATTAAGTAGTAGGTATTATAAATAAAATTGGTTTTGGAAGCGCCAGAATGCTTAGTTTAAGAAATAAAAGTTCTATTGAGAAAATAAAACCATTAATATCTTTTCGTCAACTGAAACTCTAACTACTTTAAAACCACTTCAAATTTTAGGTCAAACACAATTAGATCGCAAACAAGCGAAGCCCCAATAAAGTTCGCCGCACAAGTATATCGCTATTGTCGTCGCAATTTCTCGTTAGCTACAACAACTGTTTGTAACCGAATCTTAGTTTGAGTACACGCTTACGGCGTCTGTCTCTCGCGTTTTTTCATACATTCCTTTTTGCTACCCCCCATGCACCATTATGTGGATCCGGCGCGACGCCGGTACGCCTTTGACATGCACTCTGAGCAATTAGTATGACGCGTCGTGTGTACCAACGTACGTACAATACGTACTTGCGACGCTTAATTTTTTTGGAATGTTTGCGCTTAAGTCTGGCTTTTTCGAGATTTTGGTGGGAAGCTAGATAGTAATGAGGGTGAATGCTGTTGGCGATATGAATAGTGTAGTTATAATGACTGCTTATGAATATACACCGTTACTCGGATGAGAAATTTCTTCTGAAATTGAGACAAAACGTGCAATACGGTATAGGTATGTCATCAAACGTCCTACAATGAGATGACAAGAAATATGAATTCCCCGACATACCAATAACCCCACACAAGAAATACACGCTTCGAATACGCAACTCATCTCACCCAAATTAAGTGCTACATTTTTCCACGTCCACCTATATATTTATTAATCTCCAGACGAGGGGGGTAAAGAAGGGGGTGGTACGTCACCGCATGCCTTTTGAGAAATGACGCCTGCCAAAGTTAAGTCGGTTGAGCCAAGCCAAGGCGGTGAGTTATGAACGTTTGTTGAGCCAACGGATAAAGGCCATTAGAGCCCCAGTATAATCCTTATCGGCCAAGTTGCACTTAGGATTAGTCTTGTCAAAAGTCGCCTTTTTCGGTTTATTGACCAAGCCGTGTCCAGCTGTGATTAGGGGATCAGAAGTGGATGAGCGTTATTCGGAATGCTTGTAGAGGTCCACTACTTAAAAAGTTTTGTCCGATGCAATCTCTCGTCAAGATTATAAATTTAACAACAAATGAGGGGAGATGTTTACTATAAGCAAGAAGAGAACCCGTCTTTTAGAAGCACTTCTTGGTATTGATATTGAATATAAGACAGTCTTCTGACAGTTGTAAAATCCCCAGCAAATTTTTACTACTTCAAAATTGATAAATAATATACTTTTACTTTAGATGTTATTATTTGATACCAATTAATTTTATCTGTCAAGATCCGAAGTTTGTTTAAAATTATTTGAAATTTTAATCATTAAAAATGAGCATGTCTTGCAAACATAAATCACTTTTGCAGTGTCAACCAGCGTTTCTTTTAAAGCAAGTCCGGCCAATTTTCACTGGGGTAAATTTAATTTTGCTTAGTCCCATGTTCCGTCGCCTGATATTACGCCAGCAAATCCGCGAATAAACTTCTTTAGCCTTTGCTGCTATTTTGCAGAATTAGCAGTTTACAACAAAATAAATTTTCCGATGTGTTCAAATTTCTTTAACCTTTGACCTACTCACTTTATTTATATAAAGATCTAAGTTACAGTCTATATAAAAGTTGTATAAAGGACTTTTTTCATCTTCTGGTATGAAATAAATATTGTTCCTATGTTTGTATGCATGAGATAAAAATAATACCCATTAAAGAGAAATAACTAGCAATGTTACTACTTCAAAATTTACATAATTTCGCTATAACAATGTGGTAAAAGGACTCGATAAAAATTATTACATGCATTTTTCTTCGGAAACTACAATTTTAGAGTAAACCACAAGTCATTTTAAGTAGAAACAAAGTAATCATGCTATTCGGCTCACACGATATTGGCACGGTGCCTTCGATACTTCTTGTGGGAGGTATTATTGGTCCATGTTTATGTGTATGGTTTGTGCTCTATAGAGAGTAATAAAACGTTATAGTTGCTCAACGGGCGCTTTTAGCATTTCGAAGACCGTAAATACGAACATCTTGTACCAATAAACGAGTATTGCACGTTGCATTGTTAGACAATTTAGTGGTAGAGTATATTGCGTGTTTAGGCGGCCATTTCACCTTCACCGGCCGTAAAGAAGATGATAAAACAGGATTTTGTTGATGATAGGTACTTACGATGAAAATAGTGGCTATAGCTAACATCACAGTTTTGATCTGTTATGCAGTTTTTGCTCTTTGTGCAACATAATGCTGTATAATATTCAGTGTAAGCCACCTTCTATTCTGTATAATACATCAACACATCTTCAAATTCTTCGGTGTTTTTTCAGTCTCAGATCAAGTTTGCTTTAGTTACATTCTGGGATAAGACATAGCTTGTCCCTGACTTGACAGGCGTGTTCAATTTTATTTATAACCTTAATTGAATTTGATTTTAACAGCTATATTCAAAGATATTGTCAAATTGTATAGGTACAACTGAATAAAATTTAATTCCAACTACGAAACACGAAGTATGCAAATGAATCGTAAAAAGATTTTCATGTAGAATAGATTAAAACGTTGCCGATATTAAAGTTTCACAAGTAAAGGAAAATTATTCGCTCTGCCTTAGGGTTGTCGAACTATTTTTCATTTTCTTTAAGGTGTTGAATTAAAAACACATAATTTTAGGTAGTTAGAAATTAACTGGTACCTCTGTAGTAAACTACCTTTTTTAAATAAAATAAATTATTTTAAAATTCACTGCAAGGAAATAAAACCCAACCATAACGATCAATTTTCTCTACATAAAATAATTTTAGATTATACTGTTTGTTGCACATGAATTTTGTACCTGAGGTGGACTTAATGTCTCAAAATAGTGTGTAATGTATAGTCTAAATGAATCAGATTTTGTGAATGGTAATTTATATTTTTACTCGCATTGCACAAAATACTAGATTAGTAAACATTCGTACGCGAAGCAACCCTAGGCAAAGCACATTTATCAAGTTTACTGCTGTTACGTATTCAGAACCATTGTTTTTGACACAGATTACTTTCCTAGCACGTTTAGCTATGAAACTTGTATGCAACTTTGTTTTGAATATTTTTGCATTACTAAATGACTTGAACGTTGCGCCTAGTTTGTGGTTTTTCATTCAAAGAAACTTTTTATTGTTCTGTTTCTGGAATATTCATTTACAGGGAAACTTTGATCAGTTACTTGTAGCCAGGGATAACGATTTTAGTTTTAATGCTTTGTTTGAGCTGTTTATGGAAATTGAAATTAATGTTAATTGCACGCGGTTTGTTATTAAAATAACTATTTGTAACTGCGTTTTTTTAGTGTTGAATTCATTCGATTACATCAATTATTTACTGTAATAAATAACTGAAGTTTTGAGTGCTACTTATACAATTTTGCACATTTTAAAACAAGATTGTTTATGCGAAACACTCGAAATCATTAACCACCTGTTCAGTTTAATCCGCAACTGCCAATCATTTTCCATCATAAAGCGTAGACAATGGATAAAATAATCCAATATCTCTCAATGCCTGTGCCAATTATTGTGTCAATTGCATTCCTGAAATACTGTTAGACCTGCCAATCAAAATTAAAGTTTATTGCAATGCAGATAGGTTACTTATTTGAAGTCAACAATGGGTAGATCAATCTCTAAGCGAAAAGCATGTTAGTGTCAAACAAAATGTTAATTGCGGAATTGATTTGTTCCAGTATTGATTTATTATGACGTCTCAGTTTTAGAATGCCACTCCAAATAAGGACCATTAATCAAAGGGGATTTTAAAGTTATCACGTTGTAATGTAAAGTAAAACCTTTAAATTATATTAAAATCCAAACCAAGGGATGATCGAAAAACACCCTTAACACGAAAACCATTAAGCCGTCAATAGCTCAAACACAATTTTAGAACGATATTTCCGCATAAAGAAAACGTGTGTGACTTTGATAAGGGCCCAATAAATCGTGCGAGGTTCGAGTTTGGGGCATCCGCGTTGTCGCATTATAGAAGCTTCTATTGTAGGCTATTCGCATTATTCCCTTATCAAGTGGGAGTTAATGGGCGAGCATTGTTGGTCCTATGATTAATTGATTCGTACGTACATGCTTTCATTGTGATGCAGATATCCTTAGCTTTTTCCTTGCTTAAGTGAAAATGATAAATGGAAAGCCATTGTTGTTCTAGTTGTAGTGACGTTATGAGCGTATGCTAATTAGTGCGGTGTGATTTTGATTGTTTGTTTATTTTGTTTGTTTTGTCGCTGTTGCCACAGACAATAGTGAATTATGAATGAAGTTGAGGTTTTGGTAAATATTGAATGTTAGTTTCGTAGTTCGTCTTTAGTGGGATGTTGTTTTTGGCATAGTTCTGTCGACTTACTATTTGTAACACCAGTGCATACAAATAAAAAGTATTGTTCTTTGGAGTTAGTTAGCTTATGAAGGTTTAGATTAGATTTTAAATTATCTTTTAAGCTGAGAAGTAAAACATAAATGTAGTTTACAGAAATCATTAATCAACGAAAGATTTCAGTACTAATTTTACATGAAAACATTTCGCTTATACAACTTTACTGCCACTAAAATTATGTCGGTTGAAAACTTCTGCGAACTTAAGACGATAATTTATCATATCGCCGCTACGGTGATTCGGGAAAAAGTTAGACTTCCCAAAGTAACTTCCTAGTGTATTTGCAAGAAATCTCTATAAGAAAAATGACTAGCTGATCATATGATAAATGATGTAAATTCTGTTCTGAATATGTACTTAATTTGTGTTTCATTTAAGTTATGTAGAACTTAGATTTAGTGTCCGTCCAACCTTACATGCAACGTTTGACAAGACGGATGGAGTGTGTATGAATAATCAATTTAGAACGCTTCACAAAGAAAATATTTATGATGTACTTATGTATATTTTATTCTACGTATTTGTAAATTTTATTATAGTATCTACAATATTTGTGCAATATTGAGAAACAACTCCACAGCGCAAACTGCAAATCTTTTTGGGATTAAACATTCAAAATTTGACATCGACGTCGCATTACAAGCGGTAATTTTTAACAGGTGGATACACCGGACAGCGTGCTACAAAGTGGCCTTGGTCTTGGGCCTGGGCCTGACACGGCTCTTAGGTCAATGGTTGACCCGAGAGACTATGACCGCCTCCGCTTCTTTCAAATGAGTGCCGCCCAACCAAACACCTTCGAAGAGACTATCCATAGGGTGAGCATTCAGCCCGTTTTCCTTCACCATCTTTGAGGTCACAGCCATTTTAAATTGCCATGTATCAACAATACCTTCAAAAATCCATCCAAGCAATTTTAGATCTTAAAGTAAATCGTTTAATTGTTCTAAATTCTTATAGCAATTCCACATGGCATTTTAAAGAAGATTAGGTAATAAATGTATTGTATCATTAACTTTCATAGTTAACGGTGCAATAATACGCTCTGCTCTCAAAGGTGATGCAGGAGAATAAAGCAATCTGTTATGCTCTGGATGGCAAAATATTTAGATAGTGTTTATGTATGTATATGTATAGACTGATTATATAATTTTTAAGTATAATTGTCATATAGCAACTTTCAGCTTTTTAAATGTCTCCATCGAATAAATGTAGATTGGTTTTTTTGCTTATTTATATTTTATAGATTTTATAGATAAATATCATTCTAGGTTTATCATTAAATTGTGTAACAGATTTGTATATTTATTTATTTCAAATAAAGGACAGATAAAGCGTTTATCATTGTTATTAAATTTATTTTATATTCGTATTTATTTGCCAAACAGAGTTTTAACAGGTATCAAAATTCAAAATCTCATCAAACACTTTTTGGCTTCTTTTAATCGGCATGCTCAAAGAATTGGAGGTGGCTCTACGGATCGTATAAAATTATATTTTATTACTCTCACGTTTATACCATTTTTTATTTATAGTTTTCCTTTCCATAACATAAAACATTATTATTTTTGCACAGCTCCGTAGTTTGGTTTTATTTGCACGAAAATAAATTTTATGCATGGTTAATTAACTACATGAAAATGCATGTTGTGCACGATGGTTACGTTAAAAAACAACATGTCTCATTAAAATATCCATTTCGTTTTTATAATGATGCACAATAATATTTTGTGATTACATGAAAATTTTATATATCATATTTTTTCTTAAAATTTCTAAAAGTAAGGGTATGTCATAAAATGTGATTTCGTGATTAATATATAAAGCCAAAAATTTAATTATTTTTTGTTACAGTTAAAAGTTCAAGAAGCAATGAAGAAAAAAGACAAACTTGCAAGAGAACAGGAAGAGGTAATATTTTTTAACATTCATGAATGTGTATCTTTGAATGTTGTATTTATCTCTTTCATATGTGAACATGAAGACAAATAAAATACAACACAAAAATATTACGCACATCCAGGAAACAATATACGAAAAATTTAGAAACTAGAAATGTTTTTACTCGTATAAAATTTAAATTTTCCGAAACAAAGCTGTAACTTGTACAAAAAACGCATTGCAAAAGTGGTTCCATCGGATATTTTTATTCATAGCCCAAAAACAATGCATTAAAAGTTCCCTCCGTGCACAAAGCCTACATCCGAAAATAATCTGATTCCAGCCTCGCACCAACGTGTAATCTCCTGACTGGCTCAACCATTCGACGCACCTACCGAGGCAAGCTAATCGTGCCCTAATCTCGGACTAAGCCTATTAGAGGCAGTTGTATCGCTTCCCTACGAAACTTCCGAAGCCCCTTGCTCAGCACATTTCGCTCGTAAAACTATGGGTCGAACTTCGGAATATTGAACATTGAAATTTTACTGTTTCAATAAACTGTTTGCCGCAATTTCGGTAATACCGAATCGGTGACACAAAATGTTAGGTATTGAAAATATTGGGCATGAATATAACATAATATGATATTGTAGTAGAAATCAAAGTAAATTGGATATGAATGAATATCGTGTTACATATTCTTATGGCATGTTGCCGCAAAATTTTGCTAAAATCTCATTTTGTAGAGCAGTACGACACGTAAATCCCTTTCGTGTATAAACTGCGCCGTCTTGGTAACTAAGTGTGCATAAATTAAGTTAATGTTCAATACTTTTCTACTTACGAGAAAGTGGTCTTTTTATTGCCCCCTTTGAATATTTATTATCGTGTTCACGCATTCAGGAAAATATTTCGTAGGGAAACATTTTAAAAGATTTCTCGACTCGTTTCTCGAACGATTTATGTTTTAAAATAAGCGCATACGTCGTCTATGTCGAAGTCTCGTTCCTAATAACATTCCTAAGTGAAACTAAACACAAAAAGAATCGATAAGTTTTTACTATGTCGATAAAGTTTAAAATGTTAGGTAGTGATATTCTATCTGATGGTGTTCGCATTTTATTTCGACTTACACACGATACGTTGTGCGAATTACTTGCACACAGGCGAATAAAAGCTTCCCCTCATTTCCTTATAAACACTATAAAGATTTTATGTCTCACTTAAAGGCATTCCTATTTTGCACGAAGAAACAGAGATGAACTCGACGGGTGGGAAAAATGCAAAATCCAAAAATGTTTAGGCACAATGTTACGGACTCGTGAAAATTGCTCATTATTTTTAAAATTAAAATTTTCCTATTTTGTTCTCCTCTCCCCTACAAAATAGCTAGCTCAGTTTCCTTGGAAAATTAAATAATGTTATCTACTTTGAGGGAAAAAAATTCATGGAATATTCAAGTTTGATGTCTTGAATTTTTTTGCAAATATTTATCGTTGTTACAGATCCTAAGAGATATAAGACATGGTCTTATGAACATGGGAAGAGACGGTGTGCGTGGACCCTTCGGAGGTATGTTGTAATTAATTCCGAGCATAACCTTGTCCAACAACATGTTTGATTAATGTTTGGATAAAGTTCAAAACAATTTTAATGTGCTTTTGACATGAATTTTTACATGTGAATCTGAATGACTTTTAATATTTTAGAAATTTCTCACACACCCATAATTGTGCAGTAATCAAACTTTAACAAAAATTATGTACGATACCTACTTTTAATAATCACTTATTGTTTCTAAAATATTAAAACCTTTAGATTTTGCTACTAATTGTTGAGCTATCGTGATTACGCATGATGCTTGCACGACTTTTTGATACATACCTACTTTACAAATTGTGCGGAATGCTTATTTTGATGATGTTATTTTTACGTCCGATATCATTTTCATTCGGTATGCTTTCGATGTGTAACAGTCATTCATTATTTACTCATTATTTTTTGGAAGAAATGGTCTTACTTAAGAGTTCAATATTATCACCATCGACATTATTTCATATTGCTCGACTTTTCGGTACCTATACAGCAGCTTGGAACAATATAAGACGCGATAGTCTTTTAATGAAAAGTCAATCAACATTATCAAAGCCATTCAATCTCATTCATCAAGTCAATGTTTTCTTTGCGAGAGATGCTGAGTGCATGTTTTGGATAAACAATATTTTGCAACCACGCACGGCTTAACGATGTTCGTACACAGCTTTAACTGCAGTGTTGTCAGTGAATCGCCATTATATGGAAGGCATTTGTACGGTAAAATTTTTTTGGCAATTTTTGTAGCACGTATTTTTATTTGCATTACTGGGAACTGAGCTGCATTGATCTAATAGAGGGCTCGTTTACAGACGACACGTACATGTATGACGACGAAGCAAGAGGCCTCTCAGGAAGAGGACATTGGTACGACGAACCACCGTACGAGAGTGACCCCGAGGATTTTTTAATGGGAGGAGGAGCACCAGCGGCATCATTTCAAAATGGTCGAGTGTGCTTTACGCTCAATCTTAGAAATGAACCGAGAGGCGAAGGCGTAATATCTCTAAGAAGCGCCGGCGATATAAGTTTAGCGAGAACCCCACGGAGGGGATTAATTATTCCGCAGAGTGGCCCCTATCCGACCACCGTTATCCCCTTGCGAACGGCAAGAGATCGGGAGAGTGGGGATTACGCCGCATCTGATATCCAATCTCTAGGATCAAGACTATCTGGCATCTCTTTAGAATCAAACCGATCAGAACGAGATTCCAGAAGGGGCTACCGACAAATGTCTGGCTATCGGATAGGTGCTGATCCTTTGTCGCCAGCTTCATCTGACTACGAAGACCAAGAAAGCGAAACTGACTCGCAGCATATAGCAACTGTACATAAGGTAATTTAAAAAATTGTACTTCATTCACTGTATTTATAAAAATCTTATTAAACAAATTACCAACGCTAATACAAATGTTGCTTTTGATTTTGATTCCATTACCCGTTTAACAAATTCTATTACCTATTTCAGTCCGCTGAAGAATGTGAAGGTGTATCGAACTTGGCCGGCAAAGTAAGAGGCCTTAGACAAGATGTCCAAAGAAAAATATCAAGGTTAAGACAAGAGAGGGGTCCTGAAGGCAGTGATAGGAGGACGAGTGGTGACCAAGCGTTCCCATGTTCTAATAGTTCTTTCGAAAGTCTTCCCAGCGGATCAGGCAGTAGTGAGTGGATTTATTAAGTTATTTGTTTGTGTTAATATAAATGGTTTTGTAAATAAGTTGGTCTTTCCTTTCTTTGTGTCATAACACCCCATGTGTTACTTACAGATACCCTTGTAATTTATGTAATTCTTAAATTTAAACACATCATAAACTAATCTTACTAATTGCATAGCATTGATTACTAAAACTACTACCCATTCACAGTCAAACAAAGATGTACACAGGTATTCTACTTTCAATGTGTTGGTCGTAGACATTGGGATTTATGTTATCTGAGCCTAGAATATTTATGTACAGGCACACAAGCATTGGTTCGCGCCGGTAGTAATCACTCATCTCTCTCGGCAGAAGAAAACATAGAATTAAGTCCAGCCGGGCGGAGTTTACTCGTGCCGCAAATGCTGTGTCGAGCCCGGGCCCTCGTCGATTACGTACCCAATATTTATGAGAAAGATGCCCTGAGATACAAGGTAAGACGACTTAATACCAAAGCGTACCCGCTGCTCGCATCTAGAAAGGAATTTCTAATAACGTGTTATTTGTCAACAGAAAGGAGACATCATAGAAGTGATAAATATGAACGCGTCCGGCATATGGCGAGGCGTATTGAACAATAAAGTTGGAAACTTCAAGTTCGCCCACGTCGAAGTTTTATCTGAACGGGATACGGTCCGTTCAAGATCGTCCAAATGGTGCAAAAGTCGCGAAAGGCTTTGGGAAACTCGACCACGTACAGTAGAAGAATTACTGAGACGAATAGATTTGTTAGAGTATGCTGTAGCCTTTGCAAGAAATGGTTATGAGGACATAGAATTATTTAAAGAGATTGAACCATCTGACTTAGACTATTTGGGAATAATGACTCCCGAACATCGTACACGTATTCTTGCTGCTGTACAACTTCTCCACCAGCTTGAATGTGAGTTGGAACAATAATTTTGAATGCTTATTCTACATAAAGTAATCCATTAATGAAGCTACTAAGAAAATTATCAACTCTCGTAGGTGGCGAAGGCGAAGCAGAAGCTGACGGAGGCGGCTCGAGCTCCGAAGGTGGTGACTCTCCCTTTGGCAGACGACAATTTCCCCGTGTCTCGGGGTGTTATGAAGCCAGCGTAGGAGTTGGAGGTGTACGAGTTCGAACTTCTCCCTTAGTTCATAGGGCTGATGAACCTTCACATAGGCCCCCAGAACCAGCACCGCAAGCTAAGAGATCCATTCGTCGACGACAACCAGATGATGCTGAATGTGATAGAATTGAACGCTATCCAGGAACAGGTACGGAGCGTACTACTGTACGTAGTGGCGGCCTTCCTGGTGGTGCAAGAGATGATACTTGTGAATCTGATCATCGGCTAAATGTAGTCAAGTTTGTAGCTGGCGGGGAACCTTGTGCTTCTGAAAAAAGTAGCGATTCGGGGGTGAGTAGCTCGTCATTAAGTTCCGCTCACCCCCATCGTCCCTGAGCGAGGCCTGCCGCGCCCGCGCTTGCCTAGGCGCTGGCGCGGGCGCGTGCGGAAGCCGCGCAGTCGCCCGCTCCCCCCGCCGACACTGAACCATCAGCGCCGCCCGAACCTGAACCCGAGCATGAATAACCTGAACAAAAACTACTAACCTACCCAATACATTCAACATTTTTGTGAAAATGCTCAACATACAAATACTACGTACTATTACGTCTTTTAATTTAACTTGCTTACAGGTCGTTACTATGTCACAAATTCAGATGCATTTTAGTATTTAAATCAACACAAAACAAGACTGAAACTTTATTTCTGCTTATGAATGAATGGTGAATGTTATGGGCGGTGCAAACAGAGATTAGTGTGGGTAACCTTATATTTGACTTCTACAGAAGCAATTAAGTGTCTGTATTAGACGATTGTCTTTAAAATATCATGATTTAATGTGTCGTACCCACAAACATTCTTTGTGTAAGAACTTATTACTTAAAGACTGACTTGAGTTTCAAAGCACTGGTACGTGCTGTAATTTTATGAAACGATTAACAGTTAAAATGCAATAATGTAAAGATTATGATAATTCTTCTTCTTTGATATATTCAAGTAATAATGTGGACAAAGATAAATTAATCGATGTTAATAGATTCAATCGTAAAATAGAGTTTGAGTACAGAATATTATTATGAATTGTAGATATTTATATAGTTTGCTTGTTACGGTTTCACATGCGGATTCTGAAATCGCTTTTTATCATTCCGTTATAAATTGAAAAGCATATCATGGATGGCAGCAATTTATTATAATTTAGTTTGCTTTTATTTCGTTACTCTGTTCAAAATACAGACTTAAGTTTTGTATTTTATTAAAGCTTGTATTGTTGCAATTATTCCATTTACGAGACTTGCATATTTTATGTACAATTTATTTCGATAATTTCAATATTTTCGTCTCGTACAGTACATAAAATGTCCGGGTGATGACCACATCGCCCAGTGCGAGAGTGATATTTTTAAGCAAAGAATATTTAAAACATTTTCTTTTATTTTGAACAGAGTATTTAAGAAAGCATTTTTGACTGTATTTAGGCATTAGTAGACGAGGCAATATGCCAGTTGTGTAAGAATTTGGGCGTTGGAAGCGCAACATTCAATAGCAATAATTGTAAATACAATAATAGATAGGTTAATTATTATTATATGTTGATAAAAAAAGTTTTTTGTAATTTTTTAAGAGAGCTTTATGCGGTATGCCGTGTGTACAGTTTATGTAGTAAATAGTGAAATTTTGAATTTCACCCCGCGATCTTCCGTGTCATGGTAAAGCAATTTGACATACTTTACGATCTTCACACTTGTGACTGGGCTCTCGTAAAATTGTAACTACTGTCAAAATAGAGACGAGAACAAAACAATATTAGGTTTCGCAGGCTTCGTGACGCCGGGAACAGTAACTGTCTCGCGACTCTCCCTTGAACTAATATTACGTTTTTTCTATTCATATGTGTCGTACATACTATGATTTCCTTTTTTAATATTGTTGGATAAAGTGAAACTGTCGTCGATGTTAGCTAAACATATTGATGTCTGTTAGAAGCAGAATATTATTTGTTTCTCATCTTGTAGTTTCGAATCCGAGTTTCTTTTCAATGTATGTACAATAAAAGATCAAAGTTATGAGTTTTTTCACGTTCCTGTTATCGTTTTGCTATCGTGAATTGCTCTAAATATTGAAACCATGATGCTGCCAACCACTACTGCCATCACATTTTTGAACTATAGTTTCTAAAGATAGCGAAATGATAACTCAAACGTCAAAAATGATCATAGAATTGCACTTTTTTTAAAAAAAAGATATCAATTCATATGCAAAATTATATCTGATTTCCATTTGTTTATTTTCATGTGTGAAATGTTTAGTAAACTTAGCAATATATACGATTTCAAGCCATTACGCCCATCTTTTGTAAAAGCTCAGCCATTCGTGTCAAAATTGGACACTCCCGACTGTCCGTGGTGTTCCTCTTGTAAATTTTGTAAAAATTCTTACACACTTTTCGAATACAATCGTGAACTAGTCCGAACTATTGAATGTACATAGTTAAATGTTTGTTACTTGTATATTGTAGATAGAATATATTTCTTTTGACAATTGTATATTCAATAAAATTAATTCTTTATTAAAATTCAATGTTAAAAAGATAATTTATTTATAATCAAAATTATGTTAACAATGCTCAGGTAGATTTGAACTTATCCATAGGTTTTGTGGTTATAGCGTTGTTTTAAGACTTGTGATTATAATAATTAAGCTGTATAATTCACTTTTTCCTTTTTATTTCTGTTAGCCATAAATCATTAACTGTGCGTACTTTTCGTAGCAATATTTATACTTTTTTTTAAACAGACCTTATGTGTAAGTTAACAAATCTGTTTACAAACATGGATTCTAAATAAATAAATCCAAAAACTTTACTTGGTTTTTTATTCTAACTCCCCGATGTAACTGTAAACTTCTGCCAAAAAATTTTTAGTCAAAAAACCCCTACAAACTTACCAAATTATATATGATACATAAAATTCCTAAGATCTTCTCGGTTGAAGAGAAGTAAATTAGACTAAGAGACGTATACAGGAGTACCTACAATCTACATGATATTATATCTACTCTAAAGAATAAAGACAAAAATCCCATAACCTGTAAATCGATTCTTACATAATAAATCAAATCAAACAGGATGCTGTCTTAAACAAGTTACCAGGTAATATCTTACTATTACTTACTAAATAAATCACACTCAACCAACAAGCCTTAAGCTACCGTAGAACTACCCATTTGTTTATCTTTTATCTATTCTCCTATTTACAAATATCATAGAACCAAAACTTGTTTATTGCAGTAAACATTCATTATATATTATCTTATCTAAGTAATAAATGAAGAATACTTAATCTAAGTCAATGTATTACTTCAATTGATTGCAGAACATAAGTCCTGCTTAGTCGCTGCATTGTCAATTTGTGGAGTTAGTCAATTGAATTAGCTTGTATTTGTGTAGGGGATTGTGGACTGTGGTATTAAAGTGATAGAGACTAATTTTATGTTAGCAAGAATAAATAAAGGTTGTAAAAAGGCTACTGCTTAAATCGTAGGAAAGTGAAAACTGTACATTGAAAATTTTGAAAAAGAAAAAGAATGCTTGAATCGTGATCTATAATCGATATCGAAACCAAAAATATAGTTTTGAAATTTTAGTCTGTTTGTCTGTGTCCGGATTAAACTCAAAAAGGACTGTATGGATTTACTTCAAATTTTGCATGAATATTACTAATAGATTGGTACAATATATAGGCTACATAGTATCACGCTATCACCTATGGGAGAGGAGCTGTGAATTCCACGCGGATGAAGTCGTGGGCACAGCTAGTTGTAAATATAACTTGTAGTTAAAATAAAAAAAAATAGCAAGTACATAAAGCATAATATTGTAATAGTATTATAACAAAATAACCTAAAGACTAACTCATTTAGGGTATAACATAAATAAATTGCTCATCTCAAGAAGCCACAGCAAACGCAATTATATTTTTAATTACTTTAACTACTCAGGTAAACTTCATTTGACAGATACTAGTAGCCATTTTTGCAATCACAAACGTAGATAAATAGTGGTGATTCTCAGTGAGTGTGCTATCTCAATGCGCCTATAATTATACAAGCCATGAGTTATGACGTTTAACTGAGAACGTTTTATCATGCTCCTACGACCATTTTTTAGTTTGTACGCAAATTAATCTTATGACAGGACATAGGGATTAGGGAATAGCGTGTGCAACTAGGAAGACTAATTACACAAGTGGGTGTGGAATTGGTAAGTTGTAGTTTTTTGTATTTATAGGTATATTTATTTAGGTATTGATTTTATTACTTGGCAAATTTTTAATGGTTTTAAAAAAAACTCAGTTGTAGCACGTAGTCTAAAATCGTGCCCGGTATCACGGCTCACCCCCTATTACATGGGAGTCATAACATAAATAGTAATGTGTACTTCTGCCTATTCCTTCGGGTATAAAAAGGCGTGATGTTATATTATTTTACATACATACATACAGTTCTAATTGAGAATCATACATACATGTATGTATCCGATGTTAATGCGGTTTTCATAAAAGTGTTTGTTACCCATAGGAGCAGGTTTATAATAATATATGTATATTAATTAACCGACTTAAAAAAGAGGGTGCTGCAGTCAGTATTATTAAACGTATTTTACAAAAGAATTAGTTACATAGAAATTTACATAATTATACAACATTACAACTTTCCTTTTTTCGATTTAGATAAATTCATAGCTATCCGAGAAAAGAGTAGACCTATAATTTACGAATATATAGGTTTAGGCGCCTATGTGTTCGTAAATTATTTTATTTTTTTCAAATACAATGAGCTTTCCGAACCTGTTTGGAGAAGACAAACAGCCGTCCTATCTTCACCTAAGACACGGTATCGTGCACACATTAACTCAGCCAACTGTACGGAACACAACACATACATTTATAATACTGAAGGCCCAGGAACCAAGTTACGACTAGCGCAAAATTTACGGTGTCCATAAACGTCCGAATGCAAACTGTATGACGGGAACTTGCTACGAAAACAGTAAAATTTAAAATTAAAGGCGTTCACTTTGTCGTAAATTTTGGATAGTCGTGCTATATGTATGTTTTATTTATTTGTTTTTTAGAATTTCGATAAATATTTTAAAGAGGAGTCAAGTGAAGTAAAATGTTTTATATGTATAGTCGTATTATTGATAGCTAAATAAATATCGAGTCATGGGACTGCAGTCAAGGCATTTATAGCTTTGGATCATCCTGTGTAAAATTTTTTGTAAAGAATCCAACTACTCTTCATGGTAGAATAGGTAACATAAAATTAACTACAAGTTATAAAGAACAAAAGTAAGATTAAGAACATAATCTGAAACGTATGGTAAAGTTATATGCCAATTTTGTTATGAATAAAATTCAAAAGCGAAAAAAAGAAACCAAAAGTATAAAAAGTAAAGAAATTCCCCATAGCTTCCTAAACTTTTAAAGACACTTAATTACATCATCATTATCATTGTTATTGGT